TACTACTACTGCTACCACTCCTGCTGCTACTACTACTACTTCTTCTACTGCTTCTGCTTCTGCTTCTGCTTACTGCTGCTGCTGCTGCTACTATCACTGCCACTGCAGCTACTGCTATTGCCACTGCTACTACCACTGCTAGTACGGTTTCTTGTAGTTTCGTGACAGTGCTGAGATGATAGTCTTCCCCGACCCGCCAGGGGAGTCTAGGGGAGAGTTTTATCGCAGGTTGCAGCTGCAGGATCTAGCTTTCCTTGCCAAGACCTGCTTTCTGCTTGTTTACATCTTTTGATGCGGCAGGAGGCATTCGAAGAGGTGGAGGAGTGGGAGGACACCTCCGGCAGCGAGGGCACTGACACCTCCTTCAGCACCTGGGACGGGCCATAATAGACTAGAGTAAAGTATAGTGTAGTATAAGAGTCAGCTTTGGTGATTAGAAGACTTCGCCGCGTAGAGCTTTCCGATAGTCATGTTTTTGTCGTTGGCGAGACTGCCGCAACATACCGCGAGTTTCTGCATGTACCTTCTTGTGGACTCCCCCCTACAAACGTGCAGCCTCAACTCTGTGAACCTCGAACTGTCCTAGAGTGCGAAACCTGTAGCCAGTCGACGCAGGTAATGAACCGACAGAAGATCTCGCAACACAGGCAAGTAAGATCATGACAGCGCAAGAGAAGCAGTCACGTTCAGCCCCAAGCCGCCAATCCGCTTCGAAACCCTGAGCCCTGAAACCCTTAGACTCTAAACCCTATGCTCCATGCAGCTGGAAAAAATGTGTCAACAAAAACCCTATACCCCAAGCACCTAAACCCTAAACCCGAGCTTCATGCCCAAACAGTCTGAAACGCAAAGGCTCAGGCTCGGGTGACGAGGACCGCGCGCGAGCAGCGCCGAAGAAGCGGCTTCAGGAAGCCGTGAAGAGACCCGGCCGCATCTGCGACTGTCTTTCAAGAGGGCTTCTGGGGATTCGTGAGGGTTGAATGAGGGTGTTAGCCGGTAGGGTCTGACCAGGAAATTGAAGGGCTTGGGAGCTTTAATGATTCTGAAAGGCTTCCACGAGACTGGAGGATCTTGGAGGCTTCCTCGAAGTTTCTGTAGGTACAGACTAGATGGTCAATGTTGAGGGCTTCAAGGGCATGGAGGTTTGGAGTTCAAGAGGTGACAAAAATTCTGTGGGTGCTTCTAGGTGAGATTGTTGAGGCGAAGGCTGTAGACATGCACCGGGAAGTTCGGGCAGGCTTGGGGCGTGTTGAAGAAAAAGGGACTAGGGTTGACGCCGCGTCGTAAAATGAGTTTCGCTTCCTTACTGACCCCATAGTAAACTCTGTAAGACGACATACTAAACTTGCTAGACCCTATACTAGACCCGATGCCAAAATTCGAAAGTTCAGTACACGGGCCAATGTCGAGTGTTCAGAAGCTTCGATCTCATGTTCTAGATGTGGGAGTTTCCCAAAGTACAGGGGGTACCTTATTGATAGGGATCCTACTTTTGGGTACTATATTAGGGTCCCTATTTTGGGAAACGCCCATGTAGATCACAAACAAGAGACGGTTCTAGTTGGATGTAGGCGCCTGGGTAAAGAACCGCAGGGTTCTTGGAAGGCTGGTGAACATCTGTTCATTGACCACCGGGATGTCCAGCCGGGTGTTCTGTAATCACTACATCGTTTCTGGGCCTCAGTCTGGCTAGAGCTCTCGTTCAAAGCTTAGGCTTGTGCTGCTTTCCCGTTTGTACAGCAGCAGTCCTAAACATGGTGCAAATGCTCTTGGCAGGAAAGCCTTCATCGGCAAGCTGGCGGCCAAAAACACGAAGACGCTGAAAGCTATGGGCGGTGAAGGAGGCTCCACATGGGGGCATTCTCAACACAGGTTCCCTCTCGTCTCCTTTCAGAACTAGTACGGTAAGCTTCTGAAAGTACGCACCTTGAGCAGCCTCATTTTCGAAGGCAACCAGGATACTAATGCAGCTGCATCTGCAGTGTTTCGAATCCTAGGTGACATCCGTGACGTCCCCCAGCTGCGGTTCTGTGCAGTGGCGCATTTGCAGCAGCAATTTCAATGAAGCAGTAATTTCCCATCCTTGCCCATTGACCGTTACATCGTTGTACAGGATGCGGTCGATCAGACTGCCGATTCCCATTAAAGACACCAACCTCCCAGCAGCCTCCAATGCATGCTGTCCCCTCACAAATGCGTTTTTCAGGCCATGAAGTGCGGGACTGTGTGAGCTTGAGAGGGATCGTTTCGACGGACTTGGATTCTGGGTTTCATTTTGTGAGGTGTTTGGGTGTTTTTTTACGTGCGTGAATGGGTGGATTCTTGGATGGACGGGCCCATGCCTGGCCTGCGCAAGAGCTTGGCCTAGGGGCTTAAACAATTACCAATACTATTTTGGGGTTTCTTATTATAATTATAGTATAATATACCCCAAAACATCCCAAAACCCTGTTCTACTTATGAAGGCCCCTCCATGAAGCACTTCTGCTCCTTGGCTCGCAGAAGGTGGGCCTTCAATCGCGGAGAAGATGCGCAAGGTATCTCCGGCACAGACGTGGATGCTAATGGGTAGTTCTCTAAATTAGGGTCTCTTTTGGGATCCTTTTTAAATATATTGTAAGGATGCCGTATTATATTGGGGACCTAAGAAGGACCCTGATTTAGCGAATTACCCTATATTGCAGTGTGAGGGAGCCTTGCCCAGTGTCGCCGATCAAACTTCCGTTGCTGCTCGCAAGGTCCACCAGAAGGAGGGACAAATGCAATCTTGGAGGCCCGTGCTGTCCAATGTAGTCTGTTGTGGAAAACACAGTACATTAGTGTACGTTATCGTATAGTGTAGGGTTCTTTCTTCGCTTCGCGACTTACAAGTTGCCTCTTGTCGGACGAGTAGCCTGCAGGCCTTGAATAGAACTGCGAAAGACTTCTGGCTTGACGATCTCGTGTTTTTGGAGAGCTCGTTCTTCTTCATTGTTAGGATGTTTAGAGGGGATGCAGGCACCCTGTCCTAGAAAACGCAGGATATGTTCATGCAGAGAAACGAGCTGCTCGTTCTTCAAACAGGAGAGCCCACATCCCAACAGAAAGGTTTGCCATGGGGCCTGCGTTTGTGATATCGGGTGGCAGTTGCTCTTGTATCACGGTCAGTGTGCCTGTATTCATATGTTCAAAGTAGCACAGCCCATATTTGTTTGATTTTGGTTTGAAGTTTGATCGTTTGTTCAAGAGCTTTGTTGTTTATGGGTGTGGTCGTTGCTCACAAGCAGTGTCGTTGCCCCAAACTCCAACTCACACCCTGGGCTCCAATCTCGCCTTAAAGCCTAAACCCCTAAGCCCCTTAATCCAAACCCTAAACCATCGTAAACCTAATTCAGTCCGCTTGTAAATTAGAGTGAGAGAGGGAAGATCAACATTATAGGGTGTATCGTTGGCAACTGTGTATTGGACGTCAGACAATTGAGTACTGTTTCTGCGAACATTCATTTCACTGTGGTTCTGAATCCCTTCGGGATTGTGGAGGGAACTACCCCTCCGGAGCTGTCCGGCTCGTTAGTCTGTTTTCTAGCTGATTTATGCGTGTATTTATCCTACTCCGCAAAGGGTGTTGAAGTTCATGAACTAGTCAACACGATTGAAACAACTTTGACGCACACATATGGGACACCCTAACTTACAGGTTCTACTTATATGGAACTGTGTTCGCGTCCCAGGTGTGTGATGTTTCACTTCTTGAATGACCTCGAACCTTTTGCCTCGCCCGGAGTGTCCCAGTGTGAGCGCCGAAACCATCGTAAACCCCTCAACACTTTCTTCTCCAGGCTCTCGAAACGGAGGACCCCCCAACATATCCCTACCTGATTGGACTTCCCTATACGAGAGTTCGTATGGACCCTAACGTTTGCATATGTGCTGTTTTGGTGCCCCTAAACCCTAAACGAAGCAAACTTGTTTTCAGACCGACTTCCCCTGAGAGACCTCGCCTGGATTGTCCGAGTTGTGAGAAATAATATAGGACCCTATATCTTTGCCAATACTGTTGTGGGGGCTCCTCATTACAACTATAGTACAATATATCACAAAACTTTTTTCTAATTTTTAAGGACCCCCATTTCGTGTGCCCTTTTGGTGCCCTTCTTCCTAGGTAGTACTGGGGAGACCCCTTAAAGGGGACCCTCCTTTACCTTACTTCTGGCTCCCTTAAAACAAGGGCCCCCTTCATCCGAACTCCCACTTCTGAAAGGAAGGTGGAAGCCCCTTAAACCCTCCTAAACCCAAATCCCTACACCCTTAACCCTAATCCCAAAGCCCTAAACCCTAAGCCCTAAACCCCAAACCCTAAACCCAAAGCCCTAAACCCAAAGCCCTAAGGCCTACACCCTAAACCCCAAACGCTGGATTCAGCAATGGCACCTGCATGGTTATGAGTTTGCAAGATGTTTGCAAGTCAAGAAGTTTTACGTTTTCTGCATGCCGTGGACCTGCCGGATGACGACACTATAGGGCAGAACCCCACGCCTCTACTGCATGAAGTGGCTTTTGACTGCATGGAATTGAATAGTGACGTGGAATTCAACAACAGAGTTCCTGACTAGTTGAAGAGGCTGCTGGAGCTACCACAACTGGACAAGACAATGGTTTCAAATCCTGAAGCAATGCAAAGTGAGAATTCAATGCATTAGAGGCTCTGTCCTGTATGGCATGAGGTCCCTGGAATATGGAAGGTCCCAACATATACAGTGGTGATGCAAGTGCTGGCATATGCACGTTCACGAGTCTGCATGGGCTGCGAGCGGTTGGTTGAGGAAGTGATGCTGAGTAGATGCAAACTTTTGACGTTAGGGAGCAGAACGTAAGATGAAACAAGTTTCACGGATCC